AAGGAGGTGTGTGCAATTTTTGTTTGAATATCATCTGTATTGGCCACAGCCTGTCACCACCACCTTCTGATCATTGTTTATGTTAATTTTATTTTATTTCTGTCTGCTCATCTAACATGGCATGAAGTGCCAATTTCTGCATGGTTATGAATGCATGAGAGTGAAGAAGATAATAAAGGATTTTCAGAGGAACATATGGAAGAAAAGCCTCAGGTAAATATTCCATGGAAACCCTTCGGAATGAGGTAGGAACTGAAAAACCAATTCAACTTCTGACTTTGATGGGATTCCAGCCAAGAAAAAGAAGGTGAGAAAGGAGCCACTGTGCCAACCTGACCCCCTGTGAGTCAATGCCCAACCCAGTTTCTCATTGCGGGGATTTCCAGGCCTTTGTATTTTTTTTGGGGGGGGGATCTTTTGTTCATTTGTTAAAAGCCACCATTGTACTCACAAAGCTGTGAGCAACATCTGGGTNTTTCAAATTTGCACAATGCCCAGAGTACTGCCTGAAAATGTTTTCAGGTAAAATCACACCAGTTTCCCATGGGAAAGGCCCATTAATTTTATTTAGTCATTCATAAATTGTTTATTTTAACAAAACATGACTCAAGCCAGTGAGTAAGATTTGAAACTTTGGAAGAGACATGAGAAATGGGTGTGGGGGTACGTCATGGAATCAATCTCTTTTGGGCGAGGTGTGGTTCTTAAAAGAACCGGTGAGTGTTAACTCAACCTTTCAGCCAGTGTGCTCTGGCCGTCCTCAGGAGAGTGTGCCAGACTGGAGTGGATAGCTGCAAGTGATAAGGAAGGGGGCACTGGTTTGTTTTGTGAAAAACAGACATCCATAGTGGAACATTTTTAGGGATTTAACACTTTTTGGTATCAGTCGTGCAGCTCTGATAGAACGACTGGCAAATTGGATTGATCGTTAACTGTGCGTGTTTCAATAATTGTCATGTCATCAACATATTTAAAATGATGGATGTCAGTACTCTTTTCGCTGATTTTAGCATTATTGATAACACCTAGAAAGACTATTGGTCCTAACTTAGTTCCCATAGGAAATCCCAGGGACAGGGCTCCAAGTCAGATAGACATTTTCCATATCTCACACATTGCTGTCTGTCAGACAAAAAATCAGCTATTCATGCTACCCTTGAAGGGGCAACTCCCAGTTTCAAAGGTTTTGTTACGGCAGTGGTGTGATCTGTGTATCAAAAGCTTTCAAGAGGTCGGTCAAAAGCACAGATGCTACTGGTTTCGGTGTATTTGCATGAAGTATATGAAGAATGTCTGTGAGGCAATGTTTTGTACATGTGACCTTTATATTACCAAACTGCTTTTCATCCAGCCTACATGTATCTTTCATTGCATCAGTTGTTTGCTTGGTAATAAAGTTCTTCTGCTACTTTTACAAAGTGATCAGTGAGTGCAACTCGGCCGCAGGTTCTCAATTGTCGCTGTAATGCCATTTTAATGTGAAACTCCTCAACAAAACTTTGGTTCTTTGTTTTGAGAGAGCTCGTGTCACACACCCCTCTCCCTTAAAAAAGGAACCAGGTGCCTGCCATTTCTCTTTGAATACAGATCTGACACACTCACCACAGCACTCCACCATCTTCAGATTATTGTTTGCATTTCTTTCTCTCTGTCTCTCTGTCTCTGCCTCTCTCTCTCTTTCTCTTTCTCTCTCTCTTTCTCTTTCTCTTTCTTTTTCTTTCTTTCTTCCTTTCTGTTCATCATGACATGAGGTGCCAATTTCTGCATGATTTTCAATTCATGAGTATGAGGAAGACTGAAGGATTGTTCAGTCTTAGAGGTATCGGTAAGAGAAATACCCCAGGTAGATATTTCAGGAAACATTGACGGAATTAGGTGGGGACTGACACCCCAATTCAGCTGCTGAATTTGGTGCATTTCTAACCTGCTGTTGTCTGTAAAAATAGAAGGCACGAAAGGAACAGTTGCGTGCCAACCAGGCAGTGACGCCAGTGGGTCGTTTGCTCATCGAGGGGATTTCCAAGGCTTTTTATTTGAGGACGGTTTTTGTTGATCATTTATTGAATGCAGCTGCACCATGCACAATGTACAATGAATTCAAACATTTTGAATTCAAACAGTGCTCACAAGTGTACAGTACATGAAGCATGAAGTTGTTGACAATTACAGTTGCTCCCAATTTAAACCTGAACAAAGACAGTCTGCTGAGTGGGAATGGTACGGTATTTCCAATGTCTACATCAGAATTCATTTCACCAATGGGAAAAAGGAAGCTCTATCAGTGTTGAAACAAATATGGGCCAAGAGTGTTCTACTGCAATGATTTTGTTGATCAAAATATGCATTTGAATTTAGAAGAAATTTATCCCCCACCCCAAAAAAATTACCAGCAGTCCCCTTACGGTATCAGTGCAGTGGCATTGGATACCAAAAGCGTCTTTTAAGTTGATGGATCAGTGACTGTTGTGGAAAGTGGTTAAGTGCCCGCTTATATTGTAGACTTAGGCAAATTTGAGCATAAATCATAGTTCAGCTGTTGGCAAATCATTTCTTAATTTTTCCTAGGATTACTGTGATTCTGAGGAGTGAGTCTTTCATTGGACATATCATAATCCACTGAAACAGCAAGAATTAGCGCATATTACCTCTGTGATTGTGTCCTGTAATAATCTCCATTTTCTTACCATAAATGACTGAATGCACCCCCAAAAATGTCACTTGTTGAAAGTGACCAAGATAAGATTGACCATGATGAAGATAAGTTGGAGTCAGAAAAGAGAAGCAAAGAGTCTATTACTCTCCAACCTAAAAAGCAAAATAAAGGTGATAACATACACATATTTGGGTTGTTTGTGATACCTACAGATTTCATTTTCTGTCTAATTAGATACCATTAACTCTGGCATTGCAAACTGAGCATCCATGCCGCATTAGTCCATTAGAGTTCAGCAAAACAAGTTAATATGAGAAAACGGCAAGGAATAATGATACTATAGTGATAGTTTGTTATCCCACATGCTAGAACCAAATACACTTTATAGCCCCATCTGCCTTCCCTTAATTCCCAAACTTCACCTTTGCCAACCATTAACAGGGATGATCCCCAGGTTTCAGTTCCTTTCTGGAAAAAATTCCAAGGAAGCACCCCTTAGCCTGTGATACTTGCAGTGTGCGAGCTGTTGAGGTTGGTTGCTAGGGGTACACGTGCTAATCTACAATGCACATGTATGCTAGGCAGCTGGCTGTCATTACAAAAAGGGCCTAAGTTTGGGCTAGCTACATGTACATGTACCGGTACATGTGAATAGCCCTTTTTTAGAGTTTTTTTTTTACTCTTTGAGAGTGAATTTTTTCATTCTTATGCCTTAAAAGGGAATGAGTCAAGCGTCAAAGACATGCATGTATTAGTGCAGACAATAAAAGAGGAGGTAGCTGGCCTAGGAGCTTTGGGGGAGGCCTATCCTGCTTGAATCAGAAGGGTCTGCAAGTCTTTCAGTTTTAGTAGTTGAGGCTACAGGTCTTGATGGTCATTGGAAAATAGAATGCTATTCGGTGTCAGTGGAGTGGGTTTATTAGAAACAATACCATGTCTTGCCAACTGGCACAGATGCTGATTCACATGGTTTAAACACATTACTTTACCATGCACACTGTAATTTATTTGAAAAAAGTAGAACCTTTATTCGAAAACCAACACCAACAGACAAACAACCATTGCAAATTAACAAATTTAAACTATAAAATTCAAGAGTGCTGGTACAAAGCTTCTATGCTAAGTCTTTATATGGTCCCTTGGTTGAAAAATTCATAAGACATAAAAATGAAATTGCTAGTTTTATTTTGTTAAAAGTATATTTGATGTGGTTATTTTTTCGTTGTTATTTTTGAGCTTAAAGATTTAAATGCCATTGAAAATTGAAGACAGATTTGTCTGTTTTCACATTACATATATCTTTACATATCAGTCTTCTGTTTTAGAAGGTAACATTTGTCCAACTGATCTTCCTTTCCGCTTGGAGGGATACATCATTTTGGGTATATTTTGTAAAGAAATATATGATGTACATGTATATATGTATGGCAAACAGTTGTAATCATGTGTGTATGCACAGTTAATTCATTTCAAAATCTTTGTACCACTTCAGCAGTGTTGCAATGTACAGGTAAAAATACACATGTATTTATGGAAGACATCAATTTTTTCACACATTTCAGTTGAAATTGCACACCAGTCCTCTGTTGTAGTGTACTCTGTACAGTACATGTACATGTCTCATGAAGTACATACAGCTGTGGTATTCACAGCCAGGGAATGTAATTTTCCTGTATGCATCTATTTACTCTCTGCCTTATTCTTCTCTGTCATTTCTCTTGTATTACTGCTCTCTGTGTTTTTGTTCTCAGGTTATTATTTTTCTCTTTTTTGGTTCCTTGTTCACATACTTTTTCATCGTAACTGTCAGTGTTGTAATACTCGTACTCGATACTCGTACTCGAGTACTACTCAAGTACCAATTTCAGAGAACTCGTACTTGTACGCGGATGTCCAAGTACTCAAACTACAGTTCTTGTACTCCGGCTACAAAATACTCGGACCTCGACATCCAAAAATTGTACTGGAGCATCAAAGTACTCGTACTCGATTAACAGTACTCGATAAAATTCCTTTAAGTTAACTTACCACGGCCGTTAAAATAAGGTACAAAAATATCGAACCCAATCATTCAATACGGTTCTGACAAAGAGAAGGCCGAATGTGGAACCATTAACGAATATGGCCCATTCGCCGTCTGTGTGCGTACTTAACCAATCACGTATGCAAATTATATTGTGGTACTCCAGAATGGTCCCGCTATTTACTTGGGCATTGGTAGTCTGGTTCCTGGACCCGAAAATTCTAATGATGAACCCAGCATACAGAAAATCACAGGCATGTGAATAATTGAGTCTGGAAAATAGACTTTGCCGCGCCGTGCACGTTGTGTCAACTGCTGCAACGCACATGTAGTGACCGTGACATTGCTAGCCAGATCACTTGTTCTTGTAGCCATGTCATCTGCATTCGGTGTTTCTTTTACCCAGTGGCAGGTTTTAGAATCTCTAAAGTAAGATAAAACTACTTTGGAATTAGAAGTACTTGTACTGTTACTCGGAATTAGAAGTACTTGTACTTGTACTGGTACTCAGAAGTGCAAAACAAGTACTTGTACTCAGAAACCAGTACTGGTACTCTGCTGGCAAAGTACTCAGCCTGTCTCTGTGCTCGGCGGTCAAATTACTCGGCAGTACTTGGTACTCGGAAAAAAGTACTCGACTACAACACTACAACCCATCCTTTCACAATTACTAATTGTGAAAGGAAGTACATGTACATGTACATTTGAAAGATTTTGCACCTCTCAAACATAGTCACATGCAGTGTGTGCAGAGCATTACTTTCCCCGCCCATACGTGGGATTTTGTGTAATATTCACTGGATCACTATTTGGTGACCTGCTGTACCCTTCCTTGGAATTATGCTGTGTGTGTGGGATTAAACCCCCAGTACATTTCATGTACACTGTCCAAATGACCAACACCAGCAAGACCACACTAGAGATACACACAACAATTATGGTGATGGCCGTGAGGGGAGTGTTTTCAGAGATGTCAACTGGCTGCGTATGTAGTCTGGTCAGGGTTACAGAGATGTCAACTGGCTGCGTATGTAGTCTGGTCAGGGTTACAGTCTTAGCGTGGTCCATGGATGACTGGGTGCTTGTCTGTATGGGGCAGAAGGGAGCTTGTTGGTGGCAAAGACTGACGTCAGTGAGCTCAGCCGGGAAGGCGCACGTTGCATTCGCCCGATGATGTTTGCCAATCTCCTCCTGGTACACTTGCATCCAGATGCGCAGCGGCTCCATCTCGCAGTCACAGTTCAGTGGATTTTTGGCCAGGAAAACCGTGGTGAATTTTTTTGTCCAGTTTGACCGGCGGAGTCTCTTGGACACTTTGAGGATGCTTGTCAGGTTTGTGACTGAGGTGAGCTGGTTGTTGTAGAGGTCAACATGACTGAGTCTGGGCAAGGTAGGGAGAGGACTTACAGAGATGATTTGGTTGTAGGAAAGTTTGAGGGCCCTCAGGTGCTTCAAACCTTCGAAAAGCACATTGGGAATGTGAGTGAGCTTATTACCAGCCAGGCTAAGGTGTCTGAGATTGCTCTGTCCAGCAAAAGCACCTTCAGGGACTGTGGAAAGGTGGTTGTTTTCAAGGTACAGGTATCGGAGTTTGGTCAAGTTACGGAACAGATCCGAAGAGATGTCAGAAATATTATTGTCACTAAGAAACAGAGTTTCAAGTTGTGGAATGCCAGCAAATGCCCTGGGGTCCAGGATTCGGATTTTGTTGCTGTTCAGAAAAAGTTGCTTAAGATTGGGCGCACCCTTGAAGGTGAAACTCTGGATCACTGTGAGGTGATTTATTTGAACATAAATGTGGAGGAGATTGACGTTGTCCTTAAATGCCCCAGGCATGATGGTTTCCAGCTCCATCATCTCAATGTCCAGGTAACGAAGGTTGGAGAAACCCTCAAGCGCTCCAGAAGGCAGAACTCTGATTTGGTTGTGTCGGAGGTCAAGGGTCTCGACATCGCTGCACTGGACGGGGATTGAGGTCAGGTCACGGTTCCTGCAGTCAGCATCCAGAGCCCATTCAGTGTATTCGCAGAGTGCAGAACACTGGTAGGATGGATCCACTGGCTGCAAGAAGGCGATGCCAGGACAGAGAAGAAAAAGCACTGTTGAAACACCCAACCTGGTATCCTGTGCAACAAAATAAACCAAAATGATTTCAGTAATTGGATCCAGAATTGAAGCCTTCACGTAACCACTTGCTGTAATATCTAGCACTTCATCGTTTACATGCATGCACTGGTGTACGGTATACATGTATTTGAAGGATGGTCATTAATATGCATTTATAACTTCTGACCAATTGAAGCATTGTTTGCTGTGGCTACCCCGTTTGACCTCATGTCATTAGAGTAAATATCGTAAGGGTGCACTGAACCAATTCAAGCTCGATTGAAAATAGTGTAAAATCAACCAAGTTTGGAGCCCCATGGTAGGCAACTGAAGTCCCTGAGGCCTCTCAAACAAAAATCAATGTGTTGTTTGGTCCTTCAGGTTTCATTTAATTTTCAATTTTTAGTAGGTTAACCAATGAATTTTTAAATTATCCGCCCAAAAAAAACTCACCCCCCCGAAAAGTGAATGTTGCCAAGCCCTCCCAGCGGCCATTTTTCAAATGACATCCCTCACCTTCCTCGGGCTCTTCTGACTAGTTTTCAATCCCATTTTGTCTGCTTTGCCCCCAGATGGGTGCCCCTGAATCTACAGAGATGATCCTGGGCCATACTGACAAAATCCCACCATCTCTTTGCCCAAACAGACCCCTCTTTTCAAAACAATTTCAGGGGTACTTTTTGTGCACCTCGGCCTGGCGGAGAATTTTCCTTGAATTAGGACACTGCACCCGTAATGTCAGCTCACCAGCATTAGATGGTTAACAGTTATTTTATGTATAGTGATACATTACACTTGTATCAAACTGTTACATGCACATGTACATGTAGGTGCAAAGTTTCTCTGCACACTATGCAGTCCTCATACCCATTGTCACATTGCTTTTAATGTGAGATGATTGCAACATCTGCATCAAAGGTTCCAATTCCCATGGAACAGTTTTTTTTTAAATATATCTTCAGATCTATTTGTAGACCTTTAATAGGAGAAGGCAAGGAAAGTATTAAATTACCTGTCTCATGGTTAGGAGGGACACAATGCTGACCATTACACAGTATATCTTTTGCCAATTTTTTGCAGTACACTCAGTTGATTGCTGTTGCCGTTACTTTGCAGAATGGGTTTGATCAGAGCTGTGTGCATATTTATACAGTTCACCAAAGACAGTAGGTGGGATTTGGATTCTAATGATCCCCAAAATAATTGTGGGGGAATATTTCTAAAAAAAAGAAATTTGTTTTCACTATACAGATACATGTAAACATTGTGTTGCAGTTATCGGATGCAATGATTAAGTTGTATATTCAAGAATTGCTGGCTGTTGTGAAACATACATGTACCAGCATTATTGATTTTGTCCAGTGTGAAATGTGGAGTGCGGTTGGATTCAAACAGTGACGTTGTCAGCATATTACCCAACTGACAGTCTGTGTAAGGTAGTGCACAAATTCAGGCTGGCTTCATTGAAGTACATGTAGGAATATCAGTTGCCTAATGTGACAGTACACTGGACCATTGTATTGAGTTTGGTTTGTAACCAGTCGTAAATTGTCAGATTATTATGCATAGATTAAGTAACACAAAAACTACAGAAACAGATGTCTTTACTGATGCAGTGTTTACCACATGTGTCATCTTATGAGCCAATGAAAGGACCATTTGCACATGTTCTTTGGTGCTGACCCTGCAATTAATAAATTGACTGCTGTCTTTTTAGGAAGTTGAAACTTGATCAGAATTCTACTTGTAACGTACATGTACAAAAAAAACAAGTCATCTCCTTAGCAGCCTTTTAGTCTGTGCATTTTTTTAGGCATTTTTTAAGCACTATTTAGATCTACAGTAAAATTGAGTTGTATTTTCTATCACTTGAAAAGTAATCTCAAGAAAAACACCTTTTTAAGTATCACCAGCACCAGATTTGCTGTGTGCTTGTGCTCGATGTATGGAAATGTAGTTCTGCTTCATCCCACACATGCATGCATCTTCCTTGATTCACTCACAGGGATCACCATCAAAGTCATTGAATCCTTTTTAACCCGCACAATTTTACTCAGAGGGAATTTCCATTCAGTTTTTATTTGCACCCATTAATGAAGTAAAATTTCTCTTTGCTGCAAAATTGCAGGATTCTACTCTTGGGTCATGGGCTTTTGAAGACTACCCGTGTAAAAACAATTTTTGTAAAACTTCAGGGAAAATAACAGAGGCATTATGAGGAATCATTTGATGAAAATGCCTGTTAAAAATTGCACAATTAAGATTCCTTACCATGTTTTGCTGTTCCAGTTTGACTGGTAGTTGAAAAGTAGTTAGGCAATGTGGAACAGGTAGCAAGTCAACTGAATACCCATCCAGGCAGATAGGGAAACTACATGCAATGTTTGGCACCAGGAATCTAAACTCTATGGCTCAATGACTGTTTGAAAAGCTTAAAGCATAGTAACAGTGTTGTCACAACTGACGCCCCTCCCACCGAGAAAACATGACCCTGCTTCTTAAAAGTTGAGCCCGGTGATTATTCAAAATGAAAGGTTGATGACATTTAACGGGTGACTGAGGCGGACCTTGGATTTCCCAATTTTTTTAGAGCAGTAGTTTGAAGGGCTTTTATCACTTCTTGCACGCGATGTTTTCATGTGCTTCCAGGTGTTTTCTGATAATTTTTTTGGAAATTCCCCTAAAAACCTCAGCCTTTTGGGAAATTACAGGTATTATGTCATGTATTGTGTCCATCTACACATACATGTACATGAATGCCAATAGTCAACCAGCATTTGCTGTAATATTCCAAGTGCACTCATGCAGAGCACTGTTTTGGTTTCCATCCTCCAATACAGTATTTTTGCCAACTACTGGTAGCGCCTAAATATAGTGATTGTAAAGTATTGGTATCCAGTCACCATGGTCATAGGAGGCTAGTTTATAGAAAAGATTTGCAATACAAGATCTTATGATAGCACTTCACACACACAGTTTTCAAATTATTCTGACTTTGTGTTATAACTCAATGAGCGTGCACGTACATGTTCATACATGTATATGTGAGATGTAAGTGGACAGGTACATGTACCAATGCCAATACACATTATAAAGTTCAAGTTAACCTTCCACAATACCAGTACATGTTCAAAAATTGGTTTACCTACCGAAGTGCCTACACTTACTTACATACGTGTATACACGGAATTTCATTTAATACTTTACCCTTTCAGCCTCTCACGTCTTGTCAAACGCATTTACTGTGTTTTTGTTTACTTGGGCTGCATTGTTGTGTCGCTATATGGTTTACATGATCTTGAGGTATTGTATTCAAATTTACTTAATATTGGCATGTTCCCAAGGTCATGTTGTTGACGCTTGGGGGTAAAAAACCTATAGCTGGCATGGCAATTTCCAACAAAGTTAACATTTTTCACTAAAACCTGACCATAAAACGTTGTCGCAAATGTATGTTGCACACATTGTGCCTAGTATCATTGGCTATCTTGTCATTGTCAGGTGTCAAAGGTTGTCCAGACACTGATCTTTTTAGCATCAAATTTGGGACCCGCACAACTGCTTTGTTGGTTGATTTTTGCATGTACGTATCTGTTTTGTATGTGTTTTGTGTTTGATTCACTGAAGTCCATGGCAGTTCATGTATAAAGAATGGGGGAGGTCCAAACCAAATTTTCATGCCAAAAAACAGATGGAGATAGTTCACCAGAAAAGGATTATGTCACTATAGAGAACCTAAATAAAATATTTCTTTTCCTTAAGAATTACTAATGAACCACAACTGACTACATGTATGCTGTAACTGATAGAAGAAATGGAGAGCTATGCTACGTATTTTAAAACTTTCTTCAAATTGTAGAAAGCTGCCTCTCAGCAAATTCTCTTTTTCATCTTTTTGATTTGTTTGGCTTTGGTTGATTCATCTTGGTGTTGGAAACAACTTTTGGGAAGGCAACTGTGCATTAACACCCTTCCCCGTTTTATGGAACAGTCTAAAATGTCACTAACAGTCCCATTGAGTTTCGTTACTTTTCAAATGCACAGTGCAGAGCTCTTCAGAACCCAGCCTATTGTGTACCGGTACCCTGTACCTAGGTGATAAGTGATAACAGTGAAGTTGTTTACAGCTACGACTAGTCCAAAGAGCATTGAACTGAAACCCCCACGACAAACAAGTAATTGAAACATACATTGGCAGACAAATTAGTTCTGATCAAAACCAACTTGGGAATGAAAAAGCAGAGAACCATGTCATGATTTTCACAATGAAACATATAAATGTACCTCTGAAGTTTCCCGCGTTATTTGACTGCAGTTGTGACAGTATAGTGCTGTGGAAAAGCATTTTGCAGAAAAGAAGATCTGTAAATATAACAAACACAAAATAACAGACATGGGAAAAGCTTTGTGCTGATTTCCTTTAACCAGGAATAAAGCTCGCTACTCAGGTGCTCCTCATCTTCTTATTTGAAAGTGAGATATTGGACACGGAGCCTCTGTTGGCATAAAAGGTTGTGCTTAGCAATGCCATATAATTGGATCCAGACATTGGAACTTGGTGGGCTATTTTTTCTGAAGGTGGTGGAAGACAAGAAAAGAATAGCGGGCAAATGCTAGTTCTACTCGCCTTGAGCAGAAACACCTCCTCAGTGAAAATAGCCATATTAGTCGGGAGTATTCATTTTGTTGGAAGTGTTGCAGCTGTAACATGCTTTCATAGTTGGCTGTGATCCAGCAAAGTTCAGTTCAGACCAAAGGAGCCTCCGTTGCTAAGAAAATTGCGCCCTCTTTTGCTCCAGCTTGAGGCTCATAGGTTGGAGAACACTGATTGACAAAAGACCCAGTAAACCTAGCACAGGATCGACTTGTGTTGAGGAAGGTTATGGTCAACTGCTTTTCGGCAGCTGAATAGTGGTGAACATACACGCAGTTTACTTTTAAAGGCATTTGTGTAGACCCTTTTTTGCAGTTGCTACCGTATTCAGTAATGATTTCTCTAACTTGACAAGGAATGAAGCACAAACCCCCCCGTAAAAAGTAGATACTGTAAGCCCCCTAATTTCAAATAAAATTCAGCTGTAAATATTGAAAATTGAATTAAAGTGACAAAGTACTCACGCCATTGCTTACTATGACGTGAGTACTTTGTCATGTCCAGTTTGCTTTTGCATATTTATAAATCTAATCTTTACTTGTAATCCCTCTGTTTTCTGTATCATTTCATTAAATGTTCATTTCCTCATTCAGAGTAGGATGCATTGCATTTTGTCACTTCAAACAATTTTTATCTTAAAAGGTGTATTGTGTCTGTGTGGATGGTTGATTTCATTACAAGTTGATATTGCTTCAATTTTCTTCTCACTACATGTAGACAAGTACAGCAGTATCAGAAAGAGGTGCGCAGCTCAGATGCGGTCAAGTTTGCTCTCAAGGCCTTCTCCGCTGTCAGCAGCAACAACTATGTCAAGTTCTTCAAACTCGTTAGGTGGGTGGATTCTTTAACAGAGGGGTACGATGCTGAAAAGACCATGCACTGTCATAAAATGATTATACCAGTAGCACAGAACGCACTGGTTTGTAATTTCTTCCCTTGCATTTCAAGTGAAGGAAACGTCAGTGACTTCATAATACTGATTCTTTGATTGACAAACAAATTTTGGTCATCATTTTCCCAGCATACTTATTATTCTCGGAAATCTTGTGGAAATAAGGAAGTGTGATTGTATTTTACCTACATGTATGTCGTTTTTTCATTTTCCACTTCTGAGGAAACACACACATGTGAAGTGTAATTTGCTTGAAATGTTCTGGAGATAGTTGCTTTGAATTCCTCATTGAGGAATCACAGCATTGACTCCTCAAATATGTTTTGCATTACCATGATTTCCAGAAATGGTTATTTGACTGATGGAAGGAATGACTTGTTATGAAAATGTTTCATCCTTTGCGGAAAAAAAAAATCATAATTTAATGAAATTTCCTTGTGTAAAAGGTCAGCGACCTATCTCAGTGCCTGCATCATGCACCGTTATTTTATGCAAGTACGGAATATGGCACTGGATGTGATGAACAAGGCCTACACCATCAGCCAAACCAGAGGATCTCGCTTCCCATTGGCCAACATCACAAACACACTGGCATTTGATGACCAATCACAGGTGAGCATTGGCAATGTTAAATCCTCATCTTCCTTTTAGGGAGTAGAGTTGAAAGACAATATCTGAGCATTTCTTAACTTTTCGACTCTATTTAACCATGCAAGGGGGTTGTTTGCATCACAAAAGATGTGATGTATTCTACATGTACATGTGTGTTAATGGGTAATTGCAAATTTACTGTCTGCCAGTTTTATGCAGATGAAAATATGGCAATGCAGTCTACATTTAAGTCAAACATCTGTAAAGTTGTGTAAGCCAGAGTCTTTGAAATGCTGCCACATCGGTAGCTTCAAAACCTTATCTGCAGTTTCATTGGTACCCGCTATTACTGTGCGTGTTGTAACAGATGTTTTTTAACCCAATGTGAAAAAATCATCCTATGTTGATGTTTGGGGCATGGTTTTAATACAGAAAGCTCATCAGATCCACTGGGCTGTTGCTTTGACGCTAGAAAATTGTAAGACTGTCTCTAGCTATAGAGTGTCGTAATGCATCTGCCTGTGTTTTCTGCTACAGTGTCTAGACAGTGACATTCTTTGTCCAGTTGACATTTTCGATAATTTGTACAGTACATTTTTTTGTTTTGAGAACTCCGGAAACATCACTCAATGCTGTGTTTACTTTTTAACACCCAGGCTTTAGAGTTCTGCCTGTCTCACAATCTGACCGTGGAGGACGAGATGGTGCAGTTCAACCGTGCTGCCTTCCAGCAACCAGACATCACTCATTCAGTAGGGAGATCTCACAGGATCATTGAAACCAAGAATGCCATGCCCATCGGAGAGGTACGGATCTATTCCAGGTTTCCTTCGCTCAGGTTTTGCCTTAGAATTTTAAATGCAGAGCTTTGTAATAAGCAGATTTGGAAGTTTCAGGAGCTTTTCACTTCGTACACTCATCCAATCTACTTGTTTGCTCGACGAACCATCATTCATAATGTATTGAAACCGTTTGAGAAGAGAGTCCTGGACTGGTTTTCTCAGGAGCACCATTGAGGAGAACCTGTAGTGATTTATCAGTGATATTTTCTCGCAGAGAATGTTAAAAATGTTGTGGCAGCACAAGTTTGCAGCAGCAGGTCTCAGCCTCAACCATCTAATTTCATTGGTCTTGTACACTTCCTTGAATTCCTGGAGATGATTGTGTTGAAGTTGGCTGCCACACAAGGCATCCTTTTTGCAAATATCGCTCCATGGTGGAACCTCAAGAGAGTACAATATAAAGTTACATTGTAATACATTGACAAATGCCATTCAAATCTTTTAGAAATGACTCCGAAGATCTGCATTTTGGGGGTTCCACTTAGTTACGGTAAGTGGCTAGTCTACATTGTTCTTGAAAAATTTCCCACACTTAAAAATGATAATACTAGGGCTAGTTCATTGTGAAGTAATGCTGTCCGCAGGTGGTTGAGAGGTTTCTGTCACGTTTTAGTGACATCTGTAGAATATTCAAAAAGCAAATTGGGAGCAAATGTGACTTGATATTTTCTAATTTTGTAGGTGGTCAATGGTGGGCCCCTACCGCCAGACGTTATCCACAAGACATCCTCAAGTTTTGATGAGAATGGCCATTACAAAGGCTTCACAGTTGTCACCATGGAAGGAGCAACACCAGAGGACAAAGAACTGACGGCCTCAGAGCAGGCAGCAAGCACCATCAAACCTGTGGATGGCACAGCCGTTGTAGTGCAATCACATGTTCCCAGTGCATTCCCACAGTCAGCCACAAAACCACCACACTCTAACATGGTATGATGGCAACCCTTAGAACTTCATTGACTTCCAAATCATGCGTTTGATCAAAATGTTGGTTCATTTCTTGTCTCAGTAAGTAATTACTAGCTACTGAAGAAAAGTGACCAATCGGAGTCGATAAATACTCTTGACTTTGATGGAATTTAGCCTAGAGAGATGTGAAGTTTAGCATCAGCTGTATTTGATTGCTGTTCATATAATGTGTTCATTTCACAGCCAAATGGAATGATATCTGTAACAAACCAAAAATTGTGGGCATAAGTCCCACCATAGCAAGCTCATAAATTTTTCCAATGTTCTCTCAGACAGCATTTAGTATACCAGTTCTTGTAAAAGGTCTGGGATGGCTCAAACTTTTACTTAGGGGTGTGATTTTGTCATGATATTTTTTTCCAGATTGCCGGATGTTTTACCAAAAAAATTATGGATTTAAAAAGTGGAGTGACTCATGCTTGACTACGTCTGTGCATTTTGTACAAAAATTCCAAGTACAAGATTCCCCTGATTTGGACCATTTTGGAGATAAGTTGTTTGCTTCATCTCCGTACTTGACATTTTGCAAATTTCGCGTCATCTCCAATGTCATTGTTATTGTTAAACATTAGAATGAAAAAAATCACACACCCAATTCAAAGTACCTTCAATTAATGATTGTACTTAGTTTGAGGTAGATTTTGATTTTATTTTGAGTTATTTTGTATAAAGGAGGTAAAGGAGGTTGCCAGGAGCATGTTCTTGGAGGTGATTGATGAGCTGGTGAAAGACCTGAGTGAGAACTTCTTGGGATGGATCCATCTCATCCAAGTTGGCTCACTGGAGATTCTGCAGGATGCAATTGAACGAGCAGTATCACCAATGATCAGGGAGATTGCTAATGAAGTCATTGAGCAGGAACAAGACAGGTACGTGGTCAAGGACCTAGAGGGTAGACAGATATCAAGATGTTGTGTTTTCTGATTGTCAGAAACATGTATCGGTATCGCTTGGGTTATTGACAGTAAGCCAGACATGCGTCTAGATCCCTTCAAGTAGCATTGTTACTGTTAATAATAAGGTAAACTGTATATGAGGCTCAGAGGTAGAAAAACTTCAAGGAGCACTAATTTGCAGCTAGAATCAGGAATGTTAGTCGTTAGTCTAAGTTCGTGTGACACCCTGGAAGCTGGCACCACAGGGAAAAACGGACCAGTACAAGTAACAAAACAGTGGGCTCCTTTAATCTCTCACCAAGAATGCTTACATGTATTTGTTTCCCTTGACATTTCCCTGCCAATCTGGTAGAAATATTCTTCCTGCTTAACATGTCTACCGTTGTGGATAGTAAGCTATGAGACTGTCAAGTTACTGGTATGTATGTAGATCATGTGACATCACACGTGCTCATAAACAAAATTGCCAGAGTACACTAATAGGCGAGTGTGTTGCATGCCGGTTGATCAAATCAGTGAAGACTTATTCAAAAAAATGTTACATTTTACTTTGCTTGAGGGTACCAGGAAATGAATTTTTCTTAGAATCACTTTTTGTGTATCTCTGTACTCTTCTTCCATGTGTGAAGACTGTTTGACATCTTTTTTGAGTTATGTGAACTGAATGGTGCACTTTTTGAAACATGAAAAATTTACCAATCATTTCTCTACAAATGAGGGCGCTTTTGCTTTGATGCACAAATAAATCCAGGAAGACATGATTGAGGTTGCATGTTTTCATGTTCAAATTGTGAACCCCAAATTTACTGTCTGGGAACATTTCTGTGAAAAAGTTTTTTGCTGGATTATTGCCATATACTTGACACAGAAATAAATTGCGAAAGAAAATAAAATCTGCCATATCAGTGGTTAAAAAAATCTAGAAATTGTCTGTGCACAAATCAGTGCAACATTGAGATTCAGTGCCTTGGATGACATCATGAATATGCAAATAGCATTAGCATAAAACCAAAAAGCATCAAAATATGGGTTAAAATTGCAAACCAAAAATTTAAAATCAGGTTAATTCAAACCCAAAGATGCAATTTCAAGGGTTTTTGGTAAAATTTATGAAAAATATTTCTATTACCTGGTTCCTTTAAACGCAAACCTGTGAGAAAATAAGCCTCAACAACATTATGCAATCAAAAAAACACTGGAATATGAACTTTAAGTTTTGTGAACCTGCGCACAGGTTTCAGCTGGAACACTGCTCTTCTGTAGAAGGTAGAAGACCCCGCAGTGGCTTCTGAATGATGATGATGTGCCATACTTTACCGTCCTTAATAGATGATCTTCCTGCATCAGTTGTTCTTGTGATTGATATTAATTTGACATTTCTTCACTTTGTTGCTGTCCCCACACCGTTGAAATGGAAAGTCAGTTTTTACAGACAATGCCATGGAGGCTACTTATCATCCATGGATACCGAAGCTGTTTTAAACCTATGTAAACTTGATCTTAAGCTTTGAAAATCCCAGTATTGATGGCTCTTTTTGAATTAATTGACCTGCCAAGTCATTGATAAAACCCCATTTGTCGTTGTTAACTTGGAATGATAAGATGAAGAGTGCTGAAGATCAGTAATGAAAAGGTTACAACTTGGTGTTCAGACACTGTCTTAAAACTCAGTCAGTGTGTCCCCGATGTTACACCTCACCAGGCTTCGACTGGCTGAGATGGCTGAACAGAAGGCAAGAGAGGAGAGAAAGAGGCAGGCCATGTTGGAGAGGAGAGAGAGAATGGAACGGACAGCTAAGGACATCGTGGAGGAGACGGTGAACACCGTGGTTGATGAGGAGTCAAGGGTGATTGGTACCACTGAGATGAGGTACGGATCCTGCCACATGCAAGGAGCCACATGCAAAGGGCCGATTTTGACCCTTTGGGCCGCCTGGGATTTTAAAATTTTTTTAACTAACAAACTCAACGATGGAGCCAAGTTAGTTTATTTAAGAATTTTCTATTGATTCGCGTTGAGTTTGTTTTTTAAAAAAAACCTGGGCGACCAAAAGGGCCAAAATCGGCTGAAAGGGTCAAAATTAATTTTACAAAAAATAAAGTATTATACGTCGGAACCAAATTTGTTTCAGAATTTTTCTCATGATTTGCATTTAGTTTCATTGTGAAAAATTGAAGTAAACTGCTGGCGACCTTTAGTTTGGACAATTTTGTTTCTTTTTTTTCCAAATTATTTTGTATTTTGATTCACTGTTTTCACTTTGGGAACTTTTTGGGGCATATTGTTATCAGATCTTGGTTTTTTATTTTTTAAATCATTTCTGTTATAAATTTTTTAGAGTTTGTTTTGTGTTTTACCATTTACATTTTGATAAGAAAATGTTTGTCAGCCGTGATTATTCATTTTTGGTGAAATTATTTTTTGCAACATGTAACTTTTATTTTTTTTAATTAAAATTTTTAATAATTTGTTTCTCAAATGGTTTTGGCCCTTTTTTGTGTTTTGTTATTTAGATTTTTGAATAAGAAGATCCTGTTTGCTCTCAATTTTTTTATTTTTGTTAAAATTAATTTTGGCCCTTTTGGCTGCCCATAGACATATGGGCACTCAATGTTTACATGGCTTCCGACCACTGGCATTGCAATTGAGTCCAGTTACAAGTGTAGAATAGTGCTTGAAACACTACCAATGACTTCAGAAGATTTGGGAGGGCATTTTTCAATCCACACTACAATACCACTAAGTGAAGTGTTCCTAAACGAAAAGATTGGAAATTGGCAGACTGCTGCATGTGTATATGATCAAGTTGGGGAACGTGTTGCGTGACTTAGGGCACACAAATTCAGAGACATCAGAGATTAGAAGTTTGAGGGTGTAACTGCCAGGGACATGTTTTGGCAGTCATAACCAAGAATTGGTTTGGTTGTTTCTCTTTGGTTATTTGCTTTGAAAGTTTGAGTACTATATACCGTCACGATTAATTCTTATCCAGTGAAATTTACTAAAGAAAATCTCTGAAGAATTACAACTGAACCAGTTCTTGGTTATGACTGCCAAACAGCACCCCAGAGTGTGAACTACATGTAGATCTGTCAGCTTCCTGCATATTTTAGTAAATGCGACGTTTCATGTACCTTTGTAAGTAACTTACATGTGCCTTGCTCACAGAGCCGTACAGAAGGAACTCAAGAAGGAATGCATCGAGCGCTGCACATCTGAGGTACAGCATGATCTGATTGATACCACTTTGCTGTCAGAATGCCAGCAGGTAGCTGCTGAGGTCATCCAATCAGAGACACAGCTGCGAGACCAGCGATTGGCTGAGAGTGAGCGGGCTGTGCTGATGGGACAGACAGCAAGGTACTTGCAGAGGTAAGAGTGGCCAGATGTGGGCAATTCACACTATGGTGTACCCACCAAGAGGTTGCCATGGAAAGGCCATTTTTCAGCAGTGCATTGGTTGACAAATCCTATTTCCCAGCTGAGCGCAGGTAGCTTAAACTATTTCCAATGTTTGTCAGGTAAGTGCATTTTGGGTAGCAGTTTAAATCTTTTCTTCTTTCTGTTACATGGAATGCCACAGTCTGTCAAAAAAATTTGCTAGTTGTCTACTGACTTTTTGCAACATGGCAACCATGCTTTTGCAGACCATAAACTTGAAAAATGGCCTATCCCTGGCAATCTCTGGGTGGCACACTAAATTGGGAATCATCCCTATTGTAGAAATAAACAACAGTGAGAAGGTGCAAAATGTGAGTATTTTTCGTTTTGCAGCTGACTGGCTTATTACAGTAATTTCCATTACATGCTGTGTCCTCTGATTTGCGCTTCTGTGGCAGATTGTGTGTATTTGACTGTGTTTACAGCACTTTTGTTTACGTGTACATGTACATCACTTTGCTAGACACAGCACTCAACATTGTCAGTCCCAGACACCTGCAAGCACATACATAATTGCAAAACGATATGCAAGTTACAGATGCAAGGTGGTCTTTCAGTGACCAGAAGGAAATAGCACCCTCTTGTGGTCACAGTCCCTCAGTGTGCATAGACCTGCTGTAGTGACAACATTGCCAGTATGTACATGTATACCAGTTTTCACTTCAACATTGTCTCCAAAATTTCAAGGATTGTTATGTGACCAAGGTAGCAGATGAAACTGTAATGCATAATTAATACATGTGCTTGACAGATGGTACAAGGCCTACACCAAGCGTATCCACCTCAAGCACACGCTGCTGTCCTTCCCTGCTGCGCCACCCAACCAGACAGCTACTGAGCAGCTCAAGGTTCTGTGGGCTGGTAGAGGGGATGTGTCAAAGGTCACTGAGGGACACCGTCAAGGGGATGTCACATTGGACTCTCCGTTTGGGTAAAGTTTTTCAGAATCAGTTCTAGAAAAGATTCTAAACCTGTTACTAAAGTACATATTCATCAATCATAAAATGACCAGGTTAATTTAAACCCTTCTTACTTCAGGAGAATTCTAACCCACTACCCCAACCTCCAAGATCTTAGCTGTCTCACAACCAGTTCTCTATTTTTTGAATTAACATGTATTTTTGTGTTAAGAAATTTACAATGAGTATCTGTGAAGTGTCAGTTCCATCCGAAAAAAGGCTTTTTCTTTTATGATCATTTGCACTTCACACTGTCAGAAATGACGGCTGGTATCAGTGAGCATGTGTCATAAAGGACAGTTGATATTTTGACCTGACCTGATCTGTCTTGATAAAATTGTCATAAAATTGGTGTCAGAATAACGAAAAGACTGCAGAGTAAAAACTAAAGGCTCTCCATAGTATTGGGATAAAAATCTGTGGAACGATCCTGCATCCCAACAGTGTTTGTAATGTTGACATTTTGCTTTGTTTACCTCTAGCATTGTGGTAGGCAGAGAGCACATTGCCAGATCCATCTTGAGAATCCACTACCTCAAGAACCTCCGCCAACAGCAAGCCTGGTCGCCCCTTGACCTACCCAGCATGCTTTGCAGTTCCTTCCACTCCCATCATGCACCGGGGCCAGCTGGCGGTGTCCCCAGCAACAGACAGCAGCATCATTACTGGAAGCTGGTGGTGTCATTGCCGAGTCCTGGGTCACATGACAAGGGAGTGCTGTGCGATTGGCTCAAAGCCAAGCTGCAAAGAGGGAAAATTTCACAGGAGATTCGGAAAAAGCATCTTGGGGACAACAGCCAGGTATATGTGAAAATCTTGACAACTGTTTCACTAAAAGTGGACATTTGGAGGGACTCTTTGCAGAATTAATGTGTTTGTGAGTTGTGCCACTCAGTATTTTACCTTGTAGTTCAAACTGTTGTGTAAATATTATACTTCATGAAGGTCAAAATATTCTCAGTTGTTCCATCCTTTTTTAGCAGAAGTAACATAACTTACTAAACTGAAAAAACTGTTTCCCTGAACATTTCTGACAGTGGACAGAGCACACTGTCCAGTTCTTCTCAAAACCTCTTGCACAAAAGAGATTAACATGGTCTTACATTTCCATTGTAAATCAGTCGGTGTGTTTTGTTGAAGCCCTGCCCACATTGATGTGAATCAAGACTTTTCTTTGAAAAAGTGTGGGTTCAAGAGAATGGAAAACTCTTCCCGAATCTTCATTTCATATTTCTAAATCTTCGTTGACGTCAAATCAGATACAAGTAGTTTCATTCCTGAAGCTTTTAAAAGCATTGGTGTCGTGATGCAGGATGGTATTTTGCCAGTCATCTCTCCCCCATCTGGCAAAGTATCAAGGAGTTCCAGCATAGCTAGGGAGTAAGTTACAGTGGACAGAACGAACAAAACATTCTTGTGTTATTTATGGATGAACTTTTACTGTTCTCGATTGAATGCGTGCAAGACATTTTTATCATTTGGTGCCTCATACTTGTACATGCTGATTAGGACGTTCCATGAAATATCTATTCTTAGTGGGTGAAATATTTCATAGTTGCACGTACCTCCACATTTAGAGCAGAAGTCAGGATTGGAATTAACACTGTTCATTGCATTATATTAATTAAGAGAACGTAGATGACCAGGATGCGTGATCATTGGTACCTTACCAATGATTTGATTTCTTCTCAGGTTGAGACACTCAGCCTCTACTCCTCCAAGGTGGCACACACCTCACCTAGCCAGCCGTGTACACTTAGTATCTGTACAAAGGTCACCCTAGGCTCCCTGGAATCAACAGGACGTCAAACACGGCATCAGATGCTAGGAACCAGTGGGATCCTGTTTGCACTGGATCCAACCAGCCGTAACCAGGTTAGGGAGGCATAATGGGGGATACTTGGAAAAGAAAGATATAAAAAAGTGGAGATTAGGAAAGATCAGGAAAATGGTTGGAAACGAAATCACCATTTAGCTGAAAATACCCTGACCCCCCCCATCATTGGTAGTTTATCAGTTTATTGCTCTTGAGGGCTTTGGCCCCCCACCACAAAAAGCCTTGCCCCCTCCCCCCACATTTGCCAGGTAGGTAATGAGATCTATGCACATGTGTCTTATCTAATAACAGTAGATGGCACTGTGTACCCTGTAGAAGAATCCAGAGATGTTTCCCAGGACATCCCTGATGGCCCCCTTTAATGGTGGAAAGCATTGTGTTCAGTTTGTACAGGTTGACCATCATGGAACATTGACTCCATTCTATTGTCGTCACAATGCTTACCACCGTTGGCATAGGTCATTGCAAGTGACCAGCAAGAACACTGGTTTCGCCTACAAACAAGAGCCAGCAGTGGAGGTCACCATGCATTTACCAACTAGAACTGGTACATTGTACATGCATGGAGTTGTCACAACCAATTTTCATCAGAATGTGTACAAGCTTTGAAATTGTGTATGTGGGCACTGGACACTCAGTGATGATGCTTGAAATATCTCTCTGCCATTGTAGAGTGGGGTGTCTGTGCACATGCAGTTCCCACTATTGGTTACCGAAAGTGACTGAAAGCTCTTATTAGGTTCCAGACCAAATGGTTTGGACAAAAATTTTAGCATATTCAAACATTGTCTCCTTAGAACTGTTGGGAGGGAGCCAAGTCCAGGCTTGAGTCCCTCTTACAAGCCAAGCCGGCATCCCCGCCACCTCCTCTAGTCATCTGCCTCTTTGATTGTCCAGCGACTGAGCATACTCAGAGTGTCTGCAAGGAGAGGCTTGGTCTTCGAGGGCTGTCTCAGATGGGATTAGTGTCGTCATATCACTTCCTGGTGGTCACTAGTAAGGTTGAAGACCCAGTCAATAGCAAAGAGGTAAATCAAGGGGTAATAACAAACTTGAAAGCATTTGGGGGGGGGGGGTTGGAATCTTTGCCCCCCCAAAAAAGGATCCTAAAATTAAATGTAATTTTAAATAAAATACAAAACAGCAAAGTGCACTTTGTACAAAGCAACAGTGGGAGATGTCAAAATGGAACCATGTTGCAGGAAAGTTGAACACAAAATTCAAATTCCGTATTAAGAGCATCGTTGGGAGCTCTTACATGAAAGTAACAAATGTTGGCATGTTTGTGTTTTTTGTTGTGTGTTGAACTGTTTGGGCTTGCTATGTTGCGTGCACATAGACATAGTACCCAACCACCTATGCATGCTAGTGAACCAGACAGCGCATAAAACAGTGACACCATAGTCTCTCCTTAACCCCTTCGCACCGGGAGGCGGCTATAGCCGCCGTAAAAATTGAGATCCTCAGCCCGCTTTTCAGCTATTATTCTCGGCCCATGCTCGAGCGAACACGGTGAAAGAAGGCAGACCCTTGCTCTTGTGTATATGGTAATTGGTCTTTGTGCGTAGCCTAGAAATGAAAAGACCAGCTTCACAATAGTCCCCACTTTGAAAAGAGGCAACGGGAATGTAGAAGGGTGAGTAGAGCCGCATGCCACCGAACAATCAGCCTTTTCACCGTGTAATTCAAAGCGTGCAGAGCACGCAGGGCCATAAACCGAGAATTTGTGGTTTAGCAGGTGGCTTTTGTGGTCAAGCAAGGCTGGAATTCTTGGAGTCGGCTTTCGGGAAGAAATTCCCCTCATCAAGGGGTTAACAGAGATGAGCAGTAGTATATTTGTTGGCAGTTACCGAGGTTCCTTTCCCTGTCATCTTTACAGTTGGGTGAATCCGTAGAATGGCTTGCTTCTCACTGCTTACCACCTCCCCAGCTGTCTGAGGACTCTCTAAAGGGATATCTAGACACAGGGATTACAGAGTTCTTCAACTTACCGCTCTATGAAGACGCAAGGACAAGACGGGATGCCTGTCTCCCAGAGCAGGTAGCAATTAAACATCAAGATGTCCTGAAAGCACTACATTAGGGGCTTAAAACTGAAGATGTTCCTTTTCTTCTTGGTACAATAAACTCCTAACTCTTTATATCATCAAAGTCGGCCTTTTGACAAAATTCCTGATTTCATTTCTAAGTCGGCATCTGTAAGTCATCATTTCCTATAAGTTGACATGTTTTTCTCAGCCTCTTTTCCACAAAACCACAAAAATACCTCTGTGTAAGTCAGCATTGAAAAACCTTCATGCTTCGGTATCAGTTTCCTTCCCCTCGGTTGCCAAGAAGTGTCAAGTGACAAGTCCCACACTGCTTGACTGATGTCTGTTTATTAGCAGCACAGGCCATGGTTGATAATCGGCCGGCGCAGCATAAGTACATCAATACCAGTAACCCCTCTAGTGCTACACGCATGCGCTCTGTCCATTTTGGGGTTCGCCTTACTAAATGTAGTCTGGTTCCCTGCCCTAAATTATTAGGACAAATGAACCTCGTAAAATTTAACTCTGGATGTTTCTCAGCACTTCTCTGTGTAAATAAGTTTTACGGTTTTCCTTTCCATTCCATGTGAAGGGCTGTCATCGTGTGATTGACCTGTACAATGCTGTAGTCAGGCACCTTGCTAATGCAGCAAGCAGTGGTACCCTGACTTCCCTCTCCTGGCCTCCTGCCGAGTTTACCAAGACTGATGGACAGACAGGTACAACAAAAGACATTTAACCACATGCTGCCGGGTGGTTTGAAAAATGAAGTGCACACATACGAGCAAATTTCAAGATTTTCAGTTTTTAAAAATCTTCACAAATTCATAATTTCAACTAATGGACGTTTACACCCACCCACTCTAGCCTGACAGACAAAATCTGTTGACAGCCGAACATTTCAGCCAGGCCTGCAGCCTTGTAAAAAGAGCCAAGATTGTGCCGTGTTATATAACTGTCTTTTGTTCACGAACCTGGCACAGTGCGCTGCTGACTTCTTTTCAATAGGGGCCAGATTAGCGTGCAACGGTGCTGTGTGGCTCATCACTGCGGTGGTGGAACACTTTTGTCCCCGGTGGTAATCCACTTGCACTAAATGCCGAAAACCATGGTATACTGTTTCAAAACAAGGCTGGATTATGTCCACTATTGAGAGTGAAAAAACGTCGGTAATGCCCAGCAGCTCAGTCTTTTGTGCTTGGCACAGTCTTTTGTTACAAGGCCCAGCTCTTTTGTGCCGGTTTCAGCTCCCCGGCTTCGTGTATAAAGCCTGTGTGCTCAAAAAGGGGTATCCCGGCAGCAAGTGGTTAATATTACTTTAGCATAAGTCTTAAGTTCTTGTACCACTATAACACCCATTACATTCTTTACAGGGTCGCATACATTTTCAGTAGTTATCCTCCAAATCTTCTTTGGAAGTAATGATCTCTCAGCAAAAAGTAAGAAACTTGGATATGAGCTACATGTAGATGCACATAAACAGAAGGTTGTGCAGTCTATATGCTTTATAAAAGTTTCTAACAAAAGTGTGCCGTTGTGGAATACATTTCAACTCCGATAGGTTGACACAGCAAGTGAATCAAGACATCAAATTCACTCCCATTTACATTGGTGTAAATTACTCCGAACCTGCCAAAAGACCTCCTTTGATTTTCTAACAACTATGTTTGTCCGGCCTTACACACTGTGCACACATTTTAATTCATAATGGTATAGCACATGGTACATGTATATGGTCAAGCAATTTTACGAATCTGCAGGAACCGTTGAGTGAGTGCAGTGCACATGTTAGCAGTTATAATCAACTGTCAGCAAAGCCTTTGTCTCTATCAACAGTGAGAACACAATATGTACTGCATCCATAGACATTTCAGAGAGCCATTCAACCCATTTCAAGAGCCTTTAAATTTTTTACCCTGTCTTAGCTAAGGAGGGAGGGGCCACATTCCACCCTTCCTTAGAACTTAGCTCCCCTATGCCATGTTTAATAAATTTGGCTTTATATCAGGACAGTCATTATCAGTTACAAATGTGAAGTTTCAACCCCGTCCAACTCAAGGTTTCATTGTTTCGGTCATTTGAAGTTCAAGGCCTCACATGTGTCAACCTGCTTGCATCAAGCACATCGATTGGAAAAGTATTCATTTTTTGGCTGACCTATCAGGGAAAATTGAGCATTGCGTGAGAACAGTATATCTGATTCTCACAATATTGATATAAAATGAGCGAAGATCTTACTGAAAAAAATGCAGAAGGCTCAGCATGTTAGAAAATGCGTTGCAGTACTGTCAGGAAAAAAATGTCAGGGGCTGGAATTTTCCCCATCCTCAGCTCATTTAGGGTTAAATCAGAGAAGTTACATCTCAAAGACAGTAAGCCTTTTAAACACATTTAGTTCAGTCAAGCACATGGACAGTACAGCCCCTTCAAGGTGTTTGTGAAAAATAGCGGCCTTATGTTACAAGCAATATACACAACACTACTATATGCCAGCAATGACTAGATGGATGATTAATTGGGTACATGCACTTTAATCTGCATGGCTGGTTAGGGTTGGCCAAAGCAATCAGGCTTTGCTAAAAGGAGCTAGTGTATGATTCGAAATCCTGCAGGTCCTAGACATGTCAGGGAACGATGCCTAAATGAGAACCCCCCCCAAAATGTAAAAGGCAACTGTGGCTTCATAAGCAGCCTTGCTCGCCTCTTAGTGGGCCTCTGTAATTACCTATCCATTCCTAGGAATCATTTGGTTGCCAGGTAACATTCTGCATGGGATACATAGCTAAATCACCTCTATCTACAGGAATAAACAACCCTGAGTAGATTTTGTTGGTTACTTGCAGTCTTGCAGTGCAAGAATCATATGATATACATGTACCGCATCTGTCAAGGTTTGATTCTATCCAAGCAACCCCTGTCTCATTTGTTGCCTTTTTTGCTGCTATGACACTACATCTTTGGGCAAGTTCAATCAGCAGCAATTTGGTGACCACAGGTCGATTTTGCCTGGTGCCCGATATATGTTCAAACATGGGTTACCAGTCAAAAGCGACTATTGGTTGACAATTTGTCACTGATCGATCTTACCCAGTACGGTAAGCATTTTGGTAGACTTTCTGTCAGTATCGATCCACTTCAACACAAGGTGTGCAATCACATTTCAGCCGGACAGTTAATTATACAAGCACTGCATTATTGTTAAAGTCATAAGGATCGTTCATTGAACTTTACTAAACCTTTGCCTTCAAGCACTTATTTCTAGTGAACTCAGAGTTTGATACTAGGCGGTAACATTTGCTTGCCAAATTGTTAGAATAAAATGCTTCCACAACAGTTAGTGAGACTGACGTGCACAACAACATGGTTTGAGACATGTTTCGACTGGGATGAATACCATAGTTAGGAATTAAGGCCTGGATCATTATTTTGGAATTCTTACTTTTCTGTGATTCCCTTGCACTTTGTATGAAATAATAATGCAAATGATTACATTATGTTAAAGAGGCCTCATGGAGTGGGGATTCTGCAAGCCTCAGTGAAAGCCGGTCATTTGTTTTGAATAACAAATTCATGGTGGACTTAAGTGGAATAATTGTACTGTACTCATTAGCACCTTGCTACCTGTAAGACACCCAAATCAGGCAGAGTTGTTTTTTGAATCATTTCAACTTTGCCAGTTGTATGATTTGATTTGGTTTGATTGACAGAGCTTCCACATCCCGATTGGAATGCCAAGGACACCATCCAGCTACTACGAAATAGGATCCGGTCACTTACTCTGCCAGCTCTCCCACTGATTCATGAAGATGGTACGTCAGCAGCATCTTGCTTAAAGACAAGATTTACCTAACACCTATAGGCCTCTATTATGGGGCAGTCATCTTGCTTTTCTACCAATCAAACCAGTATAACCAAACTGAGGCTGGAAGGGAAAATAGTCTGTTCCCTTTATCAATATGTGAGTTTGTATTACTATTGCCAATGGGTCTACATGGAACAAGACAAACATGGCAACATCCTAATAAAGGTCTATACTACTAATAGGAGAGCTGTAGAGTACCAAAGCAAATACATCACATGAACAATTATGTGCGTAAAAGGCAATAGGTATTTACATGTACATTACATATTGAACGGACTAAACCAAGGAAATACCATTACCGGGACATCACTACACTTCTGAAATTGGAGATATTCGTGCTTTTTCAAAGTCATAGCACCCAGTTAGTCAAAGATCCATTAAGCACGGTGCATACATCCTGCAGACAAGTGATGTGTCATAGCAGTAATGGCTGGTAAGTCAGATTGACAGATTAGCCTAAAAACACCCTATTGTGATTATGATTTCATCTAGTTTTAAACAGTTGTCAATGACTAATCTTCCAGAGATATTTCTGAAACACTACAGTGATGGATTTGCTGTTATTTCTTGTCCACAGACGAGTGGCAGAGAGCGTGTGATCTGTGTCAGGAATACCTTGCCTCAATTCCTGGAAGTCACAAAAGCAAGGCACCTCTCTTTGCAAGGTACTCTGAAAAACAAGGACACTTTTTGGCTTTGCACCCTTATTGGTATGAATATCTTGTCCCTTCAAGATGCACTCTGGGCATGCTGTAATCCACTTACAGTTACTGACCTGAGGGAAGCCAACGTCAGAGGCCCAATGTTTATCGATCGAGGACAAGTTAGGACACTTACCTGCCCTTGGGACTTCAGATTTAGCGTTGAAATTCTCATTAAAATTCCACTTCGCCATGAGAGCAGGATCTCAAGGTTGTTCTGAGGTTTTTTGCCCTGGGCTCATTAAACTAATCCTGCAAGGGAATTTTCAGGGAGTTTTCATTTTAATGGTACCTAACTGAACACCACTATGGCATATGGGGATAAGGTTAGAAGCCTTTTCACAGATATCTCAGCACCTAACAGTATCAGTGCTTTTAACAGTTAGTGAAATGACTACAATGTTACAGAAGGCCGAACAAAGGCTGTTTCCAAGGGCTATTTCACTGACAACAAATTCTTCTCAATATGTTGAAAACACACTGAGAAGGAATAGTTTAAATTACTGGTTTACAACAAATCCAGAGAAAAGTAGTATAAAAGTAGTAAAATAATCATAATGAAGTGATTTTTAATGGAATCAAGATGTTCATCTATCGAGTGTTTAAAAGGAAAGAAAAACCATTGGTTTCCTTTTTGAACAAGACGTAGCACGTTGTTGCCATACAGTGGCAGCTGATTGTGTCTTTGCAGCCTGTTTATGTGTTCTTCCATATTTAGTGTAGAATATACGAGAATTTTCCTCTCAAATTTCACACGCCCAAAAGGATCTTCCTTTGTGCAAGATACACACATGGCAATGATGGTCAGTTGTGTTGTCCAGCCTCTTGTAGGGTGAAACTTGGGTAAGGTCATCTGACTTTTGGTCTCTTGAGAGTCGTCAAATAATTGAGTCTCAGAATCATTCATTTGCTGGAGATTTCAGCAAATTGTATATGTCAGCATTGAGTTGACCCTTTTTGCACCCTACTGCATTATTTTGGGCAGAGTTCAGAGAATTCTAGAGAAATGCCGTCGCACCTTTGAAGATACCTGCTACTTGGCCTTTGATGCACCAGGCTGTGAACCAGTGGCAGGACATGTCCCATGGACAAGAGTCATACAGGAATGCATTGATTATGTGATGTCCACCGTACACACACATGACCAGGGTAAGTACAAAACGGCTACCTCATCAACTAGAACTCTGAATCTTTGTAAGCCTAGCAGAGTGCGGGAAATAACTAAATTCCCCAGATGGAAATGGACACATTATCATGAACAGTTCAGAACTTATTTTCGAACGTAATTAAGTGACCAAAACATCTTTCAACACCTGTCCCATAACCTGGTAAAAGTGTGTATGTGTTTTTACAATACACTGTCTCTTTAAAACACGATATGACTATTCAGCTCAGTAGTTACCTGATCTCATGTTGCTCCCAATCCGTTGCTTCTTTACACTCTACATGTATCCCATCGCATTGTGCCTTCCTGTTGTCTTTCCAATCTGGTAGATATTTTGCCTGAATGCTGTATCTTGAGTAGTAACTGTCGTATTTGTGCAGGGCTGTCAATCACGGCAAAGATTTTGCATCGTCTGGTGAGGTTTGGAATTTGAAATCAGTTTTTGTAATATTTGTTTCCAGCAGAGGGTAATGAGGGTAAGCAGACAACTGTCTACTACATTCAGCATGAGTTTAATAGTTTCCCAACCCCAAAGGCCTGGAAAGAAGCCCTTCAGACAACAATACATGACAGCTTCCTCCAACCACCACGGTAAGGAACAATTTCAATATAATCCTTAACCACTTGCTGCCGGGTGGTTTGAAAAATGCAGTGTACATAATCGGTACTTTTTCAAGATTTTCAGTTATCAAAATTCTTCAAAAATTCATCATTTCAATTAATGGACGTCTACACTCACACGAATTACTGTTTGGTGGCCACTCTAGTCTGACAGACAAAATCTATTGACGCCCGAGTATTCCAGCCAGGCCTGCAGCCTTGTAAAAAGAGCCCAGATTGTGTGGTGTTATGTAACATTCTTTTGTTCACGAACCTGGCTCAGTGCACTGCTGACCTCTTTTCAATAGGGGCCAAATTAGCGTGCAGTGGTGCTGTGTGGCTCATCGCTGCAGTGGTGGAGCGCTTTTGTCCCCGGTGGTAATCCACTCGCACTAAATGCCCCAAACCGTGGTATACTGTTTCAAATCAAGGCTGGATTATCTCCACTATTGAGAGTGAAAAAATGTTGGTAATTCCCAGCAGCCTGGTTTTTTGTTCTGAGTACGGTCACTTGTTACAAGGCCCAGTTCCCTTTGTCCAATTTCGGAGACCACGGCCATGCAGATAAACACACGGTGCCCGAAACCAGAGTCCTCAGCAGGAAGTGGTTAAACAGAGATCATGTCTGTACATTTGGATACATTCTTAAGCAGTCACAGACAGACCAAAGTCGGATGTATTTGCAGCTCTATGACAGTTTCACTTCCTGAAAGTAGCCAAAAAATGTTCAAATTATGATTTGTGAAATTTTATCACTTATAGTTTGTGTAATTGTGGAAATCTAATACAAGACTACTGCATCTTACCTTCTAATGCAGCAGACTTGCATTCCAAACTAGGAAGAGAGTAGCATCTGCTTGCATACAGTATAGAACTGTGGACAATTGGATTTTATTTCTTAGCCAGATGTCGACGCCAGAAGCAGGAAATGTAAATTGTTACAAATACAGCAGAGTTTTTTGTGTGATTTCCTAGATTTGTGTCAGGCGTGGCTGCCACTGTGCAACAAAAACGGGCAGAGTTTATGGATAGACAGCTGGAAGCAAAGATGGCTGAAATGAAGGAAAACAGGACACCAAGAGGCAGTGTCTCAGCTAGGGAGCCACCGTATGTTGTTGATGTCAAGGACACGGCTCAAGCTGTGAAGACAGTGTTGTCATCTGCAAAAGAGGAATCAAAAAAGTAAGGTCACCTCTCTGCAAGGATTGGAAAAAGTCCCAGCAAAATAGAGCACTTTTTTTTTTAGAAAAAAAGAGGATCTTATTTGCAGAGGAATTGAGGGTGCCATGTGCTATATCAAAGTGGCAGTTCTTACACATTCATATCTGTGTGTGCATGTATATGGGTGTTCCCATTTCTAACTTTCATGTGCCACTTGCAAATTTAATTTTGATTTGTTTTTTTTAGGTTTATGAGCAGGATAAAGCACTGTCAGATATAAACTGTTGTCCCAAGTATTCCTAGGGGTAGGAAGATAATGAAAAAAGCTTGAGAGTTTATGGAGGTGGGAGGAAAACCCTAGGTAAATATTTTGGGGAAAACCCGCATACTAGGGTGGAGACTGAAAACCAAATCTACATGTCAGCCTAGGTGGGATTCGAACCCGGCTCGCAGAAGTGGAAGGCAAGGTAAGAACCACCTTGCCAACCTGTCTCCCCAAAACTTTCCAAATCAGTCTTCCAAGCATTGTAAAATCTGCACGACCCCTGCCATTTTAGCAGCAGTTTTTCTTGATTACTTTGGTGGCAGAGCAGTAGTTGCTCTAAGGTTTGTGTGAATGAAATGCAAAAAGGGCATTGATATTCAGGGAGTGCATTAATGAACAGTGAAATCACCCAATCATGTCTTGATATTATCTACATGTACCTGTCATTGTGTACGTGATTGTTTTTGTGTTTTTCTTGCAAGATTTGATGATCTCCTACATCAGTGGCTCCATGGCGCAAAAGGAACGACTTCACACGGTGGTATGAAAGAAACAGATCACTCCTTGCAGAAAGCAACCTCACCACGTTTGGAGCAAAGTCTACAAGATTTGGCATTGGCTATGGAATCAGAGCGCAGGGCGGACAGACTCACAGAGCTCCGACTGACCAGTCTACTGAGCCTCTAGACACTGGTCTCCGTTGGTTATTTATGAGCAGGGTACTTATTGGTGCATGCACTTAGTAAAATGCCATTTTTCCCATACAAATTGTGTCTAGTCACTGTGGTGAACAGTCAAAAGATCTCTTTTGATTATGATGAAGTGTTCCAATTGGCCATTATAGCTGGGATACTGCAGTAATTTGGTACATTTTTCTTTAGACTGTGTGCTGGCTCACCTTACCATTTAGTTTCCCATGGAAACCCATTGTTTGCCGTCTCTTGCGATGCTTACAATGGTAAATCTCACTGATGCGCAGACACCTACTGCAAAGCAGCCCCACGATTTGTCCTTATTTCCAAATTTGATCAGTGACATTTTATCAAGAGTTTTTCAAAGGCTGTTAACTTAAAAGTGACACTGGCAACTTGGGACTCATTTTGTAAGATTGGGACCCGATTTTAGCAAAGATGTGAGGTGATGGACTCATATTTGGGTGAAACAGTTGTCAAAATGTGCCTTGGAGCATTCAAAACACAACAGGTCAGTTGCTACCTCGCAATATGGCCTACTCACAATTAGAGCTCTGCCTCCGTGCAGACTTTTACTGAATGACCTGTGATTCATTTTTCAACAGAAAAGTTATAATGTGCTGCTTCATGGTCTGATTGAAAGCCTCCTTGAATGGGGCAATTCACAATTCAGTGCACCACAAAGTGGTTGCCATGGAGAGGCCAGTTTTCAAGTTTACAGTCAACAACAGCATTGCTGACCTGCCATGATTTACATCTGACGTATGTTGTCAGTTGACAAGTTGGGGAAATTTTTGTTACATTGAGACTTTCCATTTATAGAAAGAAAGTAGGATTAGCTGAAACTACTACTTGTAATGTCGGTATGTTTCATCCCTGACAAATATCAGAAAGAAGTCAAGTTCCCTGCATGGAGTTGGCCAATAGAATTTGTCAACCATTTCCCACAATGCACTGCAAAAAGTGTCCCTTCCATGGCAACCTCTTGGTGGTGCACTGTTGTCAGCCACCCCTGTTAGATCCTTTCGAATTTCTTTTCCTCAGTGTAAATCTGAATGTGGGCTACCAGAGTTTTGAATTACATGAAATTTGATTGCACACAGTGTCATATAGTTACACTGTTTGTGACTCCAAGCAATCAATTAAATTTGAGTGGACAGTGCTTCACTTTGAAGTAAAAAGCGACTTGGACACTTCATTTTTTTTTCCACTTTAACACTGATGAATTTATTTTTTTTATTTACTCAAAAGTCGCAACTACAATCCAACAAAACGTCTATTACAATGTCCATTGTCCACGTTTCAAATGTAAAGTTTCAGTTTCAGCCATACTGTCTTCCCATGAAAGAATAAATACACAAACAAGCATAATTTATGACAAAATCACTAAGAACAGTTTTATGAGACATGCATGTCTCACCTTAATAGGTATAACGGCCAACACTGTCGACTATCGAAAGCAAGTCTTTAGTTTTGTTTTGTTTTCATCTTTTTTTTTTCTTTTTTCTCCAATCCTGTCAACATCTTTAACCCTAACGGTCCCAAATCCTCCAATTTCAATATGATTTTACATACACCCTAGGGGTTTAGGGTTAATGAAGGAGCAATAAGTTGGTCCCTGCAAGTTTTTACACTTATCGAAAACAAAGCTTGTCAACAGTTCTGTCTTTTTAGTTGGCACCAAATAAGGATAAAGGGGCGGTTTCAGCAAAACGGGAACAAAAGCGGCTAACTGTCCAAAGGATTAACGGTTCAGAAAGTTCCATCCAAATTCGAGAAATTCTATCATGGACAGCAAGGAAACGTTCAGTGATATCGCCAGGTGTAGCATATGTGCAGGATTTTCAGAGAGGCTTAAAACTGAGAGTTATTGGAAGAAACAGGGGTGTGAGAATTCAGCTTTTTTGCTGATTTTAGCATTTTTGTTCAGATGTTGACCCTGAATTTCAGTTTTTTGTACACCTGGTCTGTACAAAAGTATTAAAATTTCTAACATTTCAGCTTTTTGCTAGCTGTTTTCAGCTTTGATTTCAACTGGCCACTGACACTCCTCCTGAAGAAACTTTACTTTATTAACCCTAAAAGAGCCAGGGTGTAATCTGCCCCTTCCCCAACATTTTTCCAATATCGCCACAGTGAATTTTATTATTATTTTTTTCAGGAGCTGAGCCTTAAGGGTTTTTTAGACCAACTTGTGGTGGTCTTTTTGAGACCAGTTTTGTGAAAATCAAATATACCAGCCTTGCTCAGTGCGCATTTTTCCAAGAGATGTCAGCCAAAAATGTATACTTTTTCCAAACTGTGCTGCTCAGTGCACTCAGATGGCAGCGTTTAGCCTTGAACTTCAGATGACGGTAAAAATAAACCCATCCCACCCAAACTTCACATTTTTGATTACATGTAATGATTACATGCATGCCAATTTTTTTTAAATCGAACTTGGCACAGCCATGTTCTTTGGGGAGCAAATCCCCCCCTCCTTGCCGGCTGTGAGATGGCCAAAATGACCTGGCTCTTTGAGGGTTAAAAAGAAATGAGGTCCAGTCGTAGGGGAAGGTGGTTTAAAATTACGTAAGTCAGCAGCTAATTTTTTTATATATTTTATATGCAGGGTGTTTGCCTTTCCCTGTAGTCTGTTTCAAGAGGAAAAGGTGTGGAGATAACTGATAACAAATTGAGACCTCGGTTTACAAAAGAATAACCCCCTAGGGTGTTAGTAAATTCATATTGAAATCGGAAGATTTGGGACCGTTAGGGTTAAAAGCTTTTATGCCAGAATTTGAAATAAAAGTCATGATAATAAAAAAAATCTTGTACTGACATTAAGCAAGATTCTAAACGGAATTATGCACAAGTTAGTTAATGAATGTGGAAAAATTGAAACGATGAGGAGTTTTGTTTTGTTTGTTTGTTTGTTTGTTTGTTTTTGTTAATTTCTATCTTGGTAGAATCTGCCACTCTTTCACAAGTGAACTTCTGGTATTAGAACAGCCAGCATACGGTGAAAGTCTTCTCTAGTTAACTGTACATACATGTATCTTGGCTTTTTGTCATTTCAATTTAATTGTTTGGGGATTTGTACTGTTTGGTCAGTCCTTTTAAGACGTGCCTGCTGTGTCTGCCAGTCTCGAGACGAAAGGAAATAACTGCAAACACTAAACATAATCTTCTTGTTTGCATTTCTAATGATATAAATAGTGAGTTCTTCCCATACGTCAAATACACCTCAAGTATGCCAGGTCGTAGCACGTTGTGTCTTTGCATGTACCTTAAGGTTATTTGTGAGTCATCTGCAAGTTCATAATAAAAACAGCTTTGTTTCTGTGTACAGGATCATAGACATGCTGTCCCCGCATGCTGAGTTTTTCAACAATTACTCCAAAGCCGAGATTGAAGTTTGCATGAAATCAGCAGTCACAAAAGAACCCTCAGTTGATTCAACATTTTAGTCGAACCACACAAATCAATCTTTTCAAATGATGAAATGTGTCACACATTGAAATTGTGAACTTAAACCACTTTTGCTGATGTACATGTTGAACATTAGATGAACAAAACTGAAGGTAGGTCCTGGATCAACAGCCTTCTTGAAGCTCAAGCTACCTGAAAAGTACCGAAATACTGGGATAGTTGCTTGCACACCGCAGAGAAAGGGTCGTTGCAGGGCTATCCTTCCGGTGCTCCGTGGAAGGAGACTGCACAATGTTGATCCTCGTCCCAATTCCTGTAGCCAACCTGCGCTCCTCCCTCTATGCACTCCCACCTTCCCTCAACCGCCAAGTCATTACAGTCAATCCATACCCTCTTGTCCTGCCTTCATCAAAGTTACATGTATAATGAAACTATTCTCTTCCGGGGAATGAGGCACGGCAAGAACGCCGCCCACCCTGCTGCACTCCTCTCTGGCCTGGCCGTGGACCACCCAAAGGTGGACTCGGTCACCAAGTAAGAAGAGTTGCCCCAAAGATGCCAAGGAGGTGGGCAGTCAATCCCTAAAAGACCGACATCTGGCGTTGATTTGAGTGACAAAGCTACAACACAAGTCAGTTAACACGACAAAAACTACAGAATACATCTCGCTTACTTGCAAAAAGAAATATTAGCCTTCTTTCCTTTAAAATGTCACGCAGAAGTCCTCGATGTAAACTAATGTAGAGAGTGAGAGTGAGGTTGAGAGACAAAATGTTGCAGACACCTGAATCCAAGGGCTGAATTTACAATGAGGATTGTGATATATATGATGCTACTTGATACAGGATAAGGGATTTCCATCCTCACAGACAGGGCTGATGGTGCTAGGATTTGTAGATTTGATATTACGAAGCTGCCAATTTCATGTCGAGCCATATAGAAATCGATTTTCGCAACGCCTACCCCCATAAAAAACTCCAATACTTACAGATATTGCATTCATCTATTCACACTTCTACTGGCAAACACATAACTCCCAGCTGAGCAAAGATACTATATTTGCACCATGGTACCTCAAACGGCTTCTCAGTTCCTTCAAGATTGGGTCTCGGAATAGATTTCTTGCAGAAATGACCGACAGCCACCGACTACATAACTCCAGTGCCGAAAGTAGTTATTTTGGATATTTAGACTTGTTTAAGTTTGGTGCCTCTGACAACTGAACCGTTGAAACATACAGTGTAAAGCACAAGTATCTATGAACGCCATGATTGCAGCCTAGAATTGAAGACATGCATGAGACAATTGGCCTATAATACGCAAAAATTTGAAAGAAAAGCTAGATTAATTTTTTAAATTAAATTTCTTTAAGAGTAGGTTCCAATTTTGGTTCAATCTCTTCTTGTATTCCTTAGAAAAGGCTGATAGCCTTTCCGAAGTGAACTAGGTCAACACGAACAAGTTACAAGAATACAGACACACTATATTAGATCTTTGTTCTGCCAAGTCTTCTTTATACACTTAAAAGTTCATTCTAAGACCTGTGCAAAATTACGATGATTTTTCTTGTACAAGATTTCTCTTTGTAAATTACGCTTTGATTTCAAACTACATGTATTCAATAGATAGTTAATCCTTTTCCAGCTTCATACTTTCTTTTTTGTTAACTAAATTATCGTTAAGACAAAAATCCATGAAGCCATTTATCAAATAAGATTAACCAATGATTTAACTTTTTATTCACTGTAAGCTTGATGGTAATCAGAATTTTATCATGGCTCTTGAATATTCTCACCATATTTTGCTCTTAGTACATTTTTGACAGAAATAGCTCAAAAGACGTATGATTTTTCCAATTTTTATTATACCCATTTAGCCTAAAGTATCCAATCTAAAGTCCTTCTCTATTCAATTACGTGAAAATTCAATTTCAGAAAGGCCGGTCATGATAATTATGATTATCAGTTTCAGCCTGATAAAATACGCTTTACCAAATTTACAAGGTGGGAAACAACCATTTTAATTGATTTGCAATAACGCTCATTATAGTCTCATGAAAGTTCTGTACACGTATATGTCAAAAACAGAACATCCGATCATGCGGCCTCATTATTTGGAGGTTAAGAGCAAAGGTACGCTTAAATTTGCAACATTCCTTGTGATGTAAAACTCGTAAAATGAACACAATAGTACATGTACGTACTTGCACAATGATGTTGCAATTGTATGCCATATGCCTACTTGAAATATGTTCTACATAACTGGGCAGTGGGAGAGAAACCATATTCACAAAAAGCATTTTTCTGACCCATCGCATGAATGAAATCATAGTATAAATCAGAATCCACACTAATTGAAAAATATACCGCGCATGTTGCACGGAGGCTGTTGTCAATCCTTTATAAGCTGATGGGGCTTTGTGTCGGCACTAATTCTTCTAGAGAAAAAACTTACTGGTGCAGCAATAGTTGGCTGACTGCAGTTTGTTTGAGGGCACTAGTGAATGTTTCAGTGAGTGGACAGTCAGTACCGTCCTGCTTGCCTTATTCAACTAAAATGGCTACACAATCTTCAGCCCCTCCGCTGCGTGTCGATGGTGGTTCGTTTGCCTCCCTCGACGGCCAGGTCATTGTACAGTCAATCCATATTGACTTCTCCTCGCTCTCGTCCAAGCATCAAAGTCACAATAAAAACTAATGACTTAGCTTTTAAGAAATCAACAAATCACCCCCCCATGTGTCAAAAAACCCCGCCCATGGTCCACGGTCATCAAGTATTAAGAATTTCTCTCACGGTGCCCGTGGTTTCAGCTGAAACGTGTCCCAGGTCCTAGTACCGATCGAACGCATGCTTCTTGTTGAACGGAGAAAACGTGAAGTGTACGTGGTACAGTTGCAAAAGGTATAATTACTGCACAAAACATGAAGTGAGATTGAAAGTTCAATAGTCACTCTTTTTAGAGTGAAGGGGCTTTGAACTCCAATTGATTTGCCGAAAGTTACAAGCATCTCCACCCACTGCAGTCACAAAGAAGTGGTTTCCGTGCATTTATCGAACGTTCACATGAAAGCGTACTTACTCGATTAACGATGGCTTATTCTACAGGTTGCTTGCAGACGGTGTGGAAATGAAGAGTGCAAACATAATCATGCCACGCCTTAAGTGAACTGTTAATTTTAGATATTGCAGCACAGTTCTCCAAGCTACCTCCTTGGGGCTGATTCAGATCCCAATTCCTGTAGCTAACCTCCACCCCTCCTTCCTTGCAATCCCAGTGTCCCTCCACAGACATGTCGTTGCAATCGATCCAAGCCTTGCGTTTGTCTGGAATCAGAGCCACAATGACACTGTTCTCTTCCAGGGAGTGCGGCACCGCCAGGACGCCGCCCAACTTTCTGCATTCATCTCTGGCGCTGGTCCACTCAACGGTGGACTCCGTCACCAAGTAGCAAGTGCTCCTCCACTTGTACCACTTTGGAGGGCAGGACCGAGGTTGGGCAGCATTCCATGGAATACACGCCCCAGGTAAGACATGGTTGACGA